ACAAAATGTGTTTGAATTAGTAATGCCTCGTGGCCTCCCCAGCAGGCCACCAGCACGGGTGCTGGCCACTGGCCACACCGCGTGTACGGCCGGAGGGGGAGGGGGAAGGGGGTGGAGACGCTTTGTTTACGGGATGCGGAGTAAATATTATGACTTGAGGATGGCGCACGACGCAGGCATCGACATGCCCGCACGAGCGGTTTGCGAGATAGACGTCTGAGCTCTCGACGAATTTAACGGCAGAATATCAGGCCCGTGATTCGTATGTGTGTGTGTGTGTGCTGAACTTATTTCGCACCGCACGTCAGCCCACACTGTGCTCATCGGAGGGTGCGTGGAGAATGAGCAGGAAGAGCGCTCGCGTGCTGCTCGCTGTCTCTGTGTGTGTGTGTAAGCCGCTGCTAGGGGGCCGGGAGCGGTGGTGTTGGGGGGTCAGCGCGTTGCGCTACGAACCCGGCGGACACGAGGTTCGATTCCCGTTCGCGACCTCTGGACGCTGATGCATTGCTGCACCGGTCCTGGGTCTTCACTGGGGAGACAATGGTGGCCGCGCGTGGTTGCTGGCCACCCACTCCATCCCTCGTGCGCCGTGCGGCCTCCATACTGACAGCACTTGCCCTATGGAGGCAATACGGCAGATAATTGTCTTGGTATGAATTTGTGTTGGTATGAATTTGTCTTGGTGTGTATTTGTCTTGGTATGAATTTGTCTTGGTATTAATTTGTCTTGGTATTAATTTGTCTTGGTGTGAATTTGTGTTGGTATGAATTTGTCTTGGTATGAATTTGTCTTGGTATGAATTTGTCTTGGTATGAATTTGTCTTGGTGTGAATTTGTCTTGGTGTGTATTTGTCTTGGTATGAATTTGTCTTGGTGTGTATTTGTCTTGGTGTGAATTTGTCTTGGTGTGTATTTGTCTTGGTGTGAATTTGTCTTGGTATGAATTTGTCTTGGTATGAATTTGTCTATGTGTGTATTTGTCTTGGTGTGAATTTGTCTTGGTGTGTATTTGTCTTGGTGTGAATTTGTCTTGGTGTGTATTTGTCTTAGTATGAATTTGTCTTGGTGTGAATTTGTCTTGGTATGAATTTGTCTTGGTATGAATTTCCTAGCCACCGTGATGATGATGATGAGAGAGAGACACGCAAACTCCAAATATAGAGCAGCAGGCGTCAGCGTCGGGATCGAACCCATGACCTCCTGTATAGCAGGCGAGGTAGATAACAACTCGCACTTCATTACACCCACCACACCCACCACTACACCCACCACCCCCACCACTACACCCACCACAACCACCCCCACCACTACACCCACCAAACCACCCCTACCACTACACCCACCACAACCACCACTACACCCACCACCCCCACCACTACACCCACCACAAGCACCCCTACCACTACACACAACAGTTTCAGTTTAATTCATTTGGTATAGCCCTGTGAGCCATTCGGCTCTTGAATCGGGTGCAACCGCAACAAACAAAACCACAACCACCCCCACCACTACACCCACCACAACCACCCCCACCACTACACCCACCACAACCACCCCCACCACTACACTCACCACAACCACCCCCACCACTACACCCACCACAACCACCCCCACCACTACACCCACCACAACCACCCCCACCACTACACCCACCACAACCACCCCCACCACTACACCCACCACCCCCACCACTACACCCACCACAACCACCCCCACCACTACACCCACCACAACCACCCCCACCACTACACTCACCACAACCACCCCCACCACTACACCCATCACAACCACCCCCACCACTACACCCACCACAACCACCCCCACCACTACACTCACCACAACCACCCCCACCACTACACCCACCACAACCACCCCCACCACTACACCCACCACAACCACCCCCACCACTACACCCACCACCCCCCACCACTACACCCACCACAACCACCCCCACCACTACACCCACCACAACCACCCCCTACTCTCCGCGTCGCCCCCGCCTCCCCTCCTTCGTGGTGGGGGAGGGTGGGAGGGAGTTCCTGGGCTGGGCCCGGTCCCCGCCTCTCCGCTCGACTCGGAGGAGCCGAGCGGAGCTCTCGGTCGAGGGACAGAGAACGAGGAGCGTGGGCGAGCTCGGTAAGGTACGAGGCGAGTACACGCGTTGTTGTTGTTGTTGTCTACCGTGCACACACGACTACGGGTAAACGTACGTGCGTAGGCACAAACACATATACACAGTGCCGGATGAAGCTAGTGCGGGGCCTTTAGCACATGTTATAAAGGGGCTCTAAATAAAAAATATATACTTGAATATTAAAACACCAACTTTTTTACTTGGATAGTAAAGTAATTGTATTTTTATTTGCTATACAGCCACAGATAATACGACAAATCGCTAACCTTAAACACTCAGTCGTTCATAAAAGTTGAAGGCGGTATAGTACTATAGTAATAGAGCAAGCGCAGAATCACTGAACCGGAATTGATTGAATTGTTTTATTGTTTTATATATTTGTATCATTTTATTGTTTCCCTTCTATGTGACTTTACCGAAAGAACCAAGAATACGCAATTGATTGCTTGAAAGCATTTAGCGCGGGGCCCTTGAAAGTGCGGGGCCCGTAGCTACTACTACGGTAAACAACGCTACTATATATACTATATATGTAGTAGCTACTACATATGTAGTTGCTAGGATAATACGGCACGGTACATACACACGTGACAAGATGCGTACACACGCATCGCGCGCTTTCAGACGCGCTTCTGCGGCCGTCTGGAACGCTCTTCCTTCTGTTTGCTCGGAAGCCACTGGAGCTATGCACTTTTAAATGATCGTCTATATTGACAAAGTATGTTCTTTAGAACCGCTTTTTGTGTTTAGTTTGTTGTCAATTTCCCCGTATTAGCACGGTTCGCTACGTACGGTGCGAACGAAGTTCAACACACTTACGTCCGTACACAGAGAGACACGTAGATAGTTGATACGTATATACCGATGCTGTGGATTTGCTCTCCAACACACCGGTGTGCTGTACTAGTAACGAATTGGCGTGTTCTGTTTACGTGACAAACCTTACTAATTGTGCTGTGTCGGGTGGTGGCGGGTTTAACGACACATTTATATTGACGCGATCTAACCCCAAAAAACCCCCCTGTATTATAGATATACGTATACACATAAACATACACCCGTATACATACACAGACGCATAGACATACATAGATACACATGCATGTTTGCAGATACGCAGAGGCAGATACATGGCATACAAATACATGCATACGCACACGAATATTCATATACACACATACATAGAGATACGTATACACGCATACATAAACGTATACGCGTACAAAAAAATCCGTGTTTTTTTTGTATGACTGGTTACCAAATGAACGCCCCGCCCGTTCTACTCCAAAACCCGTAGCATGTGGTACACGCTCACACGTGGCTCACACGTGGTACATGGGCGGCTCCCACGTGGTACACGCAAACACGTGGCTCACGCGTGTACACACGTGGCCCAATATCCCAAACTTAATTTGCATCGGCTTTGGTAACGCAGACGGCGTCACCCATGAAATTGGTAAACGTGGAACGGAGCGTGATTGGGGGCGGGGGGGGGGGGGTCGCGAGACCTGGAGCACCCTGGCCGTGAGTTTCTTTAAATTCGGGGTGAGTGGTGAGCACGAAACAAAGCCGCCTTTGTCTCCCGAGCGCTGATGTTTACACATCGTACTCAGTCAAGGCGTAGACCGAGAGGAAGAGGCCCAGAATCGTTTTAGCTATTCGCCACCTATTATCGTTATTATTTGGTCGTGAGCGCAGGGCACTAACCGCTGCACCACCGCTCCCCACACGCTCGCCAACATACGTACACACTGCGCATAAAAACACGTTACACACACACGCACACGTGTACAAAGACACACACGTGTACATACACACACACTGCGCATAAATACACGTTACACACACACGCACACGTGTACATACACGTGTACATGCACACGTGTACACACACACGTGTACATACACACACGTGTACACACACGCACACGTGTACATACACACACGCGCACACGTGTACATACACACACGTGTACATACACACACGTGTACACACACACGCACACGTGTACATACACACACATACGCACACGTGTACACACACACACACGTGTACATACACACACGCACACGCGTACATACACACACAGGGCCTGCTGATTGTTTAAAGGGCAGCATATTTATTATATATACACACACATGGAATAGTCCAAATCCACATGCGCGCATGAGCCGGTTACAATTTAAGTGAAAAAAATAAAATAAATTGATTTTATACAAAACATATGATCGCATGAACCCCAAAGAACCCAATTTCAACTGATCCCAGAAGCTTAGCGAGGCTGAGCCTGGATAGCGCTCGGGACGGGCTAACTACCGTGCGTGACACAAACACAACTCAGGAAGGGCCATTGCCCGAAACGTCGCCTGTTTTAAATATTAACGTTCAAGGCCACGGTGTTATCGGTTGTTCGGTTGAAAACATGCGCGCGTGTTGTCGTGAGTGGGGCAGACGCCGCTCTGGGGGGTTAAATGGAGGGGAGCCTTCTGTGTCCAATCGAACCCCCCCCCCCCCCCCCACTGGCGTCGTTCGTCTTCGTCTGGTGTCCTGTGCCGGGGGTAGGGAATTCCACGTTCGCCCCTGGCAAGGCGCGGGGCACCCATCACTTGTGTGGAGTCAGATGCCTCCTATTGTGCTCTCTCCTCGCAAGTGGTACCCATGACGGTGATGCCACGTGGTGGTGGTAGTGGTGGTTATCGTGATAAAAGATGGTGATTAGATTGGTCATGATGATTGTCGTGGTGGTGATGATGGTTTTTTTTAATGAGGTAGGAGAGTGAGTGGAGGGGGAGTGGAGTGAGATGAGAGGGGAGAGGTAGGAGAGTGCGTGGAGGGGAGTGGAGTGAGATGAGAGGGGAGAGGTAGGAGAGGGCGTGGAGGGGAGTGGAGCGCGAGATGAGAGGCAGGAGAGTGCGATGAGATTGGGATCCCGTGGAGTGAGGGATGAGAGCGTTTGTGGTCACGTGGTCTTGTTGACAGGCGTGAGTGACTCCTGCTGCTGCTACTGCTGCTGAGTTGAAGCCGCGTCATCTCCCAGCAGGCTGGTTCCATTTCGGCGCCGGTGCCACGGCTGTGAACGTCGAAGGGAAACTCGATCCCGTGCCTTCTGGGGGTGTTAAGTGCTGCTGGTGAGAGTCGGGCCCCACGTAATTTCTGAATCAAATGCGGTTGTTTTTCCCTTCCATTTTCACACCGGCGGTGCTGCTGCTGCTGGAAAAAAATGACCACGATGATGTCTGCGGTCTCTGGAATATACGACGCACCTTCCCCCCACTCCGAAGCCCAGCCCACTCTGCATTATAAGAAAAAGTTGAGGGGTGCGTCTTATAATCCGGTAGCTGTGCGCGCGTACGTGAGTGAAGCCAGGTTTGTATAACTCGACTGACAGCTGAGCATAAGCACGTCTTTTTGGTGGGTGGCGATTTCTTTTTTGTCTCCCATTTTTAAAAAAGGCAGCGTAAGTCAGCTTGGAATATTTGTGGTGAATACAATGAAATCCGGTCACCTTTTGGGATTTGTCAACGTAAATATAACAAGCCAACGAGTCCGAACTTTTGGGCCACCCTGTGTGTAAAATTACGTTTCACTCACACAAGAGGTGTCGCTGCTCACACCTCCCCGCCCCTACCCCTTCAAGGCCTTCAAGCCACAGACAGACATTCCAAGTTCCTATGGCGGGGGCTGTATATGCCTCACGAAACTTCCCTTGCAGCCACGTGAGCATCCCGACTCTCTCTCTCCCTCTCATTGCAGGACTTTTCGACCACTGGGACGCACGTGGCTTCCGTCATCGCGAAACCAGATAGGCCACACACAAAAAAACATTTCAACGGATTCTCAACGCACCAGTGGATGAAGGCATTTCTCCGGTATTTCTGTAAAAAAACAATTTTTAACAACACACACGGAGGGGGTGGTGGGGGGTGGTGGTGGCGTTTGGTGGTCACGGTGGTTTCTGGGATGAGTTTTAAGTTATTTTGTTGTCGCCAGCCGTCTCTTGAGCCCCGATCGCGTCAAAGTCCCTGGCGAAGTCTTGGCGAGAAGAGAGACGCCAGAGAAAGAGAGAGTCAGAACCGGCAGCGTGCAATATGTCCCCACTGAGTTAAAGCCCACTTAGCTAAGGAGCTCTTTTATCGAGGGCAGAGGCGGCCGTGCGGGAATTCATGCGTCTCGTCCGTCGTCGCCATTCAAGCTCCGCGCTCGATGCGTTTTGCTTCTTTCAATTTAGATTTTTATTTATTTTTCTAAGTCGCCGGTTCGCTGAGCGCAGAGCCGTGCAGGAAAACTCCGCTGGGCGGACCGTCCGCACGATGAGAAGGAGCTCGCTCAACGACTTCATGTCAGACCGTGCACGCGCGTTCACTCCTGGAACGCGTCCAAACGTTGTCCAACGCCCGACCACCTTTCGTTGACTCGCGCGACTGAAGTTCGACATCTGCGTGACGATCGCACGCCAACAAAAAAAACCTGCGCCTGCCACGACTAAATAACAACAACCGCCATTCGCCACTAAGTGGCGGTGACGTCACCACGACGCTTGACTATATATGTACACACACACACGCATACATCCCTCTCTCTCTCGCTGTGTAAACCGAAACACGTGAACGTCGATACGCTGTTGGCAACTGACTGGCTCACTCTGCGTTTTTCAGCGTTGGGGTCGACCCAGGGCCTGATTAAGATTGTATCGGCCCCCTGGGCTACAGCTACTGTGAGGGCCCCCAGTAATATTTTCCAAAGGAAAACAAAGTTAAAGAAAAATAAATTTATTTTTTACAAGGCTAACAACAAATAAAATGCAGCACTCACAAACGAAATAACTTTTCACTTCATCTCTGGAGGCCCTCCAGCTGACGGAGGCCCCTGGGCTCAGGCCCGAAAGCCCCCGTGCCTTGATCCGGCCCTGGATCGACCGAACGTCTCATCGCGAAGGCGGCGAACGTTTTAAAGTTGATGGACCGAGACTCGACGACCGAGCGGTGTTTGTCCTCGGGGGTCCACGTGGCACCGAGGATTGTTTTTTTTTTCTAAAATAAATTAAAACTTTACCGAACTGCAACCACGTTATCCTACGGTCGGTCAGAGTTGGCGTCCGTCGCTTGATGATGGCGCAGGAGGAAGGGATCACTGCGTAGGGAGCGTCAGGCCGTTTGCCCTTCGACGATCTGCCCTCCCGTAGTCACCTACTCTGTCGGTACCCGGCACATGAATATTGGGGCCTCAATAAACGAGGCACCTCCTTCATCACCAGGATCTGCTGACCTTCATTACCAGGATCTGCTGACCTTCATTACCAGGATCTGCTGACCTCCTTCATCACCAGGATCTGCTGATCTTCATCACCAGGATCTGCTGATCTTCATCACCAGGATCTACTGACCTTCATCACCAGGATCTGCTGACCTTCATCACCAGGCTCTACTGACCTTCATCACCAGGATCTGCTGACCTTCATCACCAGGATCTGCTGACCTTCATCACCAGGATCTGCTGATCTTCATCACCAGGATATGCTGACCTTCATCACCAGGATCTGCTGACCTCCTTCACCACCAACATCTCCTTCATCAATATTGAAACGGTCTCGTGACAGTGAGACCTCTCCGTTAATAACGGGAGCCTGCGCACCAAACACCGCCAACCTTCACCCTCGCCGATCTCCGCCACCGTAACCTCGCCATGGCCCTCGCGATCTCGGCGGCGGCCGACAGCGCCGCCGCCGGCGCCACGGCCTTCTCGCTGCCGGGCGTCCTCTTCGACGCGAGCGGCGCTCCGACGGCGTCGGCGATGGAGAACGCGACGGCGTCGGCGTCGCCCTCCTGCGCCGCCAAGTCGACGCCGAACCGCATCTCGCCCTGGTACTCGGCGATCTTCACCGCCGCGGGGCTCGCCTCCAACATCTTCGCCCTTGTCGTGGTGGCGAGGGCCGCTCGCCGCACCCGCAGCCGCTCGCGCGGCGCCTTCCTCGCCGTCGTCACGGGCCTCGTCGCCACCGACCTCGCCGGCCTGGCGGTCACGGGCGCCGTCGTCGTGAGCATGCACGCGCTCGACCTCGAGTGGACGAGGGTGGACCCCCGGCGCCACCTCTGCCGCTTCTTCGGCGGCTGCATGGTGTTCTTCGGCCTGTCGCCCCTGCTGCTGGGCTGCGCCATGGCGGTCGAGCGCGGCCTCGGCATCGCGCGGCCGCTCGTCCACGCCGCCGTCGTGACGCGGCGCGGGGCCGGCGCGGCCGTGCTCTCCGCCTGGGCCCTGGCGCTCGTCATGGCGGTGGCGCCCGCGGCCGGCCTCGGCTCCTACTCGGTGCAGTGGCCGGGCTCGTGGTGCTTCCTCGCGACGGAGGGGGCGGACGGAGGCGTCCTGGAGGTCGGTGCGGTTGCGGCCGGGGTCATCGGGCGGCTCCGGTTGGCACGGTTGGCTAACGCACGGTGCGAAAGAAGTTCGACGCGCGTACGTAAAGGCGGTGTGTCGGACATATCGAAGTGTGTTGAAGTTCTTTCGTACGTAGCCAACCGTGCTCATCGGAGGTGCGGGGGCAGGACAGCAAACGAAACACAAAACGCAGTTCTAAAGAAATGAGCTTGCCAATCTAGATGATGGTTTAAAAGTGCATAGCTCCAGCGCCTTCCTAATATCATAAGGGAGAGCGTTCCAGACGGTCGCAGGAGGACCACCGTCTTTGTCCGGTGGCTTCGACAAAAGCCGCCGCCGCTGCTGCAGCGAGGATGACCAGAGTTGGCGTGACGATGGCTTACAGCTCCGTTGACGATCATCGTCATCACCATCGTCGGAGCATCAGCGAAGCGTCATTTGCGTTTCGTTGTTCCTCCCCCTCTCCCCCTCCCTCCCCGATGCCCCACTGCGGCCAGCCGGCGCACGCGGCCGGCGCCGTCTGCTTCTCCCTCCTGGGTCTCCTCTCCCTCGCTGCCTCCCACGTCTTCAACAGCACCACGGTGCTCACGCTGGTGCGTGCTCGCCGCTGCGGTGCCGGGGCCGGCGCTCGGAGGCGGCACCGCGCCAACAAGCACGAGTTGGAAATGGTGGTGCAGCTGCTGGGCATCATGGTGATCGCCACCGTGTGCTGGACTCCGCTGCTGGTGAGAGACGGGGCCCTCGGTTCATTGGGGACTTCGGGGGGGGGGGGGGGGCGGGCGGCGGTGGAAAGGGGAGCGGTGGCGGGTGTTGTTGTTGTCGAGGTTCAATTTCTCGCCGAGTATTTTCCGCGCTCTCGCGATCGCCGGCTGGCAGAGACTGCGGTGGGTGGCAACTTGACAAAGCGGTGGCCACGGTCGTCGCGAGTTGTGCCGGGCTGCGGAAATATTGTAGGGGTTCAATCTTGATTTGAAGCTTTCGTGACTGCAGGAATTATTTCGGTAAAGTCACCAAGTGGGTATAAAATAAAATAAAGTGCGGAAACGTCGTGATTTATTTTATTTTATGCCTACGTGAGTTTACCGAAAGAACCAAAGAGTATTGTAGGGACACCGGTTTAGTGGTCGTGCTCTCTCTGTCATTTGTTGTCTTCGTTTTAATTTGCGTGGTTTTTCTTTTGTCGCTGTCGGTAATTCATCGTGATATTCATCACCGTCATCTTAATTGTCAGTCGTCGCCCTCGTCATTTCCTCACGGCCGTCGACGTCGTCGTCGGAACGACGATCCAGTCCGGGTTTTCCTCACGTGGCCACGTGAACCCCGCTCCGTCGTCAGAGTCTCTCGTTCACGGGGAGAGTGACTCTTCGCTGGCGTGGGTACCCTCGTTTTAGTTCCCGATCCGGTATTCATTGACAAAAAAGCCACAACGGGGAAAACCCGAACTGGACTTATTTTAATCGTCATAACAAATAATTAATAATTTACAGCCCCACCACCTCCACCAGCAGCAAGCATAATGCAATTTATTAAATTCACAAAGAGACCCATAGACTCACACACAGACACATAGACTTACACACAGACACATAGACTCACACACAGACACATAGACTCACACACCAACCCATAGACTCACACACAGATCCATAGACTCGCACACAGACACATAGACTCACACACAGACACATAGACTCACACACAGACACATAGACTCACACACAGACCCATAGACTCACACACAGACCCATAGACTCACACACAGATCCATAGACTCGCACACAGACACATAGACTCACACACAGACACATAGACTCACACAGAGACCCATAGACTTACACACAGACACATAGACTCACACACAGACACATAGACTTACACACAGACACAGACTCACACACAGACACATAGACTCACACACCAACCCATAGATTCACACACAGACCCATAGACTCACACACAGACACATAGACTCACACACAGACCCATAGACTCACACACAGACCCATAGACTCACACACAGATCGATAGACTCGCACACAGACACATATACTCACACACAGACACATACTCACACACAGACACATAGACTTGCACACAGATCCATAGACTCACACACAGACACATAGACTCACACAAAGATCCATAGACTCACACTCAGACCCATAGACTCACACACACACCCATAGACTCACACACAGACCCATATACTCGCACACAGATCCATAGACTCACACACAGACCCATAGACTCACACACAGACCCATAGACTCGCACACAGATCCATAGACTCACACACAGACCCATAGATTCACACACAGACCCATAGACTCACGCACAGACACATAGACTCACACACAGACACATAGACTCACACACAGACCCATAGACTCACACACAGACACATAGACTCACACACAGACCCATAGACTCACACACAGACCGATGGACTCACACACAGACCCATAGGCTCACACACAGACCCATAGATTCACACACAGACCCATAGACTCACACATAGACCCATAGACTCACACACAGACCCATGGACTCACACACAGACCCATGGACTCACACACAGACACATAGACTCACACACAGACACATAGACTCACACACAGACACATAGACTCACACACAGACACATAGATTCACACACAGACACATAGACTCACACACAGACACATAGACTCACACACAGACACATAGATTAACACACAGACAGATAGACTCACGCAGAGAACTATAGATCTGCCCAAGCGGTATTCAATCTACTCTTAGGTTTCGCGCTTGATTTAGAAAACATTGGATTATTATTATGGATACACATGCCTTGTACTCGAGTGGTAGTGCCTTGTGCCAGATAATCCCTATATACCCGACTCCGAGGCCGCCTGTAGCAGAGTTCCGGAAAATATAGCGAGCGGGAAATGAATCCCTGTCATTACTCATTCCGCTTAGCGTTCAGCTCTCCTATCAAGGTTCGTTCAACTCGAGGTGATTGAAGCGCTTCGTAACCCCCACTCGCCCACTCGAGCAAAGTAACCACTAGCCTCGCTGGCAGAGGGAGTATGTATATAACAAAATATATACATAAATATATACATAAAATATATACATAACAAAACAAGCAGACACGTCGCCTCCTCCTTCGCCAAGCAGTTCCTACACGTAACAAAAGAAAATACAACAGATTTATTGTTCCCATTAACAGAGGAGTTTTTTGGGGGGGGGTTAGATCACGTAAATATAAATGTGTCGTTAAACTCGCCACCACCCGACGGCCAAATAGTTTCGTTTGTAACATAACCAAAACGTGGCAATTCGTTACGAGTACAGCGTACACCGGTTGTGTGTTGGAGAGCGAACCCACGCGAACGTTCACAATTCTAGTGCCCTGACGTTTCGCCGGCAATTTACAACCTGAAGAAACCTCTGCTACGCATGACATTGGTCGCGAAAGCCTACGTGTTGAACGGACTTATTTTACACATCCCTGCAGCCGCAACAACTCCTCGCGAGAGTGCATCATTTTAAGGCAGCCCAATGGGTCGCAAACCTGCGGCTCTTTAAGGAACTTGCTTCGTCACAGTTATTTTTCAAGGGACCACCGCCTCGTATTCACCCACAGTGGCGTTGCGGCTCTTGAAATGTTGAGGGGTTTATTCTTTATTTTTTTTCCACCGGATTCGGGCCCCCTGGGTTCGCCTGGTTCCAGCAGCGCTTGCATTGAAGCGACGCTTTTGGCTACAGCCATCGAAAAAAGTACGGCGGCCACCGCATCGCGCGACGCTTTCAGATGCGCGTTTCTGCGGCCGTCTGGAACGCTCTTCCTCCCGATATTAGGAAGCCAGTGGAGCTGTGCAGTTTTAAACCATCTCGACTGACAAACTAATTTCCTTAGAACTGCTTTTTGTGCTTAGCGCGTTTGGCTACGTACGAAAGAAGTTCAACATGCATACAATGCTGCTGAACTTTATTTTCTTTGTCATGTGGAGGAAAAGATTGAAGTTGTATTTAGTTTAACCAGGCTGAGACCTCCAGAGACCGAGATAGACACCAAAATAACAAAAACAAAACACGCAAAAGTTAATTGCAGCAATTAAGGAAATCGTAGGCGGATTGTCCTCTTTATTTATTGTATCCGATTTATGACGACAATCATTTGTACTTTTAACGCACCGCGACCAGCACGCCATTCGACGAGAGGGGCGCGAAGAGGAACCGCAGCAATGCGATGAGCCCAGCACCAGATTCACACTGCGAGCTCGGCAATCCTCTATATATTAAGTTGTTACCGGACACTTAACGAGTGCTTACATGCGGCCGGAGAGCAGAGCACCCGCAGCGTGCGAGGGGACAACACTCGATCCCATACAAAGGGCACTGGTGATATCAGGTAGTACTTTGCTGTAGACGGATTCTTCCTAGCGAGAGCTCTCCATCGACGGCGGCAGGAAGGGAGCGTCACCAACCCTCGATGCCTCCACAGCTTCTGGTTTAGAGGCCACGTGCATAGACACCACCACCACCACCGCCACTGCCACCCACCGCAGCCACCCACCACCAACACCACCGCCGCCATCGCCACCACCAATATACCAATACAGCCGCCATTCGCCACTAAGTGACGGTGACATCACCACGGCGCCTGTGCCAGGCTAGGTGCACCTTGAGGCTACCATGTGAAGTGTCGAAGACTCGCTGCTCGCTGCTGACAGGGGCTATCGGGACTGACCCTGCAGGTGCAATGGGTCGACCGACCGAGATGACCAGTAGATGCACCACCAGCTGTACTCCCCTCCTGTGCCAACTCCGCCACCGCCACCACCACCACAGCCACCCCACGGTAACTCTCGAAGCTCTCACTGGTGGCGTTCCCCCCCATCCTCGTTTCTCTCCACCCCCCCCACCCCCTCCTCCAGGTGTTCATCGCCAACATCGCACTCAAGAGCAGCCTCATACCGGCCGAGCGCCACTGTCGCACGCTCATCCTGGGCATCCGCATGGCGACCTGGAACCAGATCCTCGACCCGTGGGTCTACATCTTGTTCCGCCGCTCCGTCATGCTGAGGCTGTGCCCCGGTTTGGGCGGTGGCGCCGGCGGCGGCGGCGGCACCGCAGCCTCGTCCGTCCGGAGCCTGTCCGCGGCGTCCGTGTCGACGGCGGTCTACGGCGCCGCGCTTCGCACCGCCGCCTCCGTGAAAGGCGCGCCGGAGGGCGCGGCGGTGGCCACGGCCACCCCGCCTCGGGGCCGAGCGGCCATGATGCCCGCGGTGAACGGGGGAGGACGCGGAGGAGGAGGAGGAGGAGGTGGTGGAGATACGGGAGGAGGTAGAGGTCGACGAGGCGGTGGAGATGGAAGAGGAGATGGAGGAGGAGGAACAGAGGAGGAGAGTCGCTTGTGAACGCAGTCGCCCCTCGGCGCGTGCCGACTGTGGCCGTGATGAATGCCGGTGGCGGAAGATGAGGTGGGGTTGGAGGAGGATGAGCAGGAGGAGGTAGAGACATTGTGGGAACAGGAGACTGTGCGGCGAGGCCTCATCAATGAGCAAAGAAAGACGGAAGAGAATCATAACTTGGAACCTCTTCTCCATTGCCCATTGTACCTCTTCAATTTTTTTTTTAAATCAAGATTGAACACGAATTTATGTAGAAACTGCTTGCAGTGTGTTTAGTTTGTTGTCCTACCCCCTCCTTCTCGGTCACTCATTCCTCCATCCTCGCAGCACTACCCATGCCATCTAAACTCAAAATCATTATGTTCTGTATAGCGCCTTGGGTGAAGGCGCATCTATAAAATATATATATATTAATATATGTTAAATATAAAATGGGATTATAAACTGCATACACCTCCCCCCGCTGTTGTCACCACCCGCTCCCTTCACCTCGAGGGCCTCACGTGCTCCACCGACGAGCCCGTGATTTAGATGGCGCCATGGCAGTGAGTTACTGGATTTTTTTTTAATTTAAATCACGGCCGCTGAGCAGAGGCCCAAAGCGAGGCCTCTGTGTATGTCCAGCATAGGGGTTGTGGCAACCACAGCGTGCTCGGTGCGAAGGCGACCTCGGTCGATGAAGTTTAGCGTTTTGTGGCACGTGACGCAGTAGCCACCGTGCGTAGAGAGAGGTGGACAGCGTGTCGGAGAGCACTCCCCTGGGGCGCACGGACAATCAGGACGACTGTCCCAATTGGCCCCGCGCTTTGAGGGTGGGGGCGTGCCCCGCTCTTCAAGGTCACGGTGTCAGATGTAATCACACTCCCTGCCTCCCTCTCTCCTGTCCTCTTTAGCCATTTTTCCCTCTCTCCCTTCCCTCCCTCCCTCCCTCCAGTCTTTCCTCCTCCCCGCCCCCACCTCCCATTCCGCCTTTCCGGAGACGGCCACCAGAGTTTGAAAAAATAAACACCACAACAATGTCTTGTGTTCGTGACCTCCCTCCCTCCCTCCCCCCCCTCCTCCTCCGTCTACTTTCTCCCCTGGCTCTGTAACATCTCGAGATGGCCGTTGACGCTGAGCCGTCCCCTAGGGATGCATGGCAAATCGGAGCATCTGCCCCAGGCCCCGCGCTTTGGGGGGGGGGCTATTATGGGCATCGGTTATCACACCGGACTTGCAATCCAGAGTTCGTCGGTTGAATCAACATCTCCGGCAATTGAAACGACGGCCGAACGCCCGAATTACCACCGCCCCTGTCCACCCATCGGTGTCACTTGGATGCACACCCCAGCTCAGTCGGGAAGAGTAGGCCTACGTACCCACCGAGGCGGAGATCCTCAGGCGGCTCCCTCCTCCCAGCGGACGACAGCTTTCACCGGCGGTGGTGCGTGCGGACAATCGCCAGGGGCTGCGCCTTTAACCGCTCCCGCTGCGTTGTGGGGGTGAGGGTGGGGGGCTACTCCTCGGCGTGCCCGGAGACGACCTCCCCCCACCTCCCCCCCTCCCCCCTCCTCGTGCATCACTTACCGCGTCATAATGGAACCTGCCGGCCAAGCTCCCTTTGATTGGTTTAGCGGGCGCGCTCTTTGCCGCGCGAGCTGATTGGTGCCGTTCATCTGCGAGACGAGTGCTGCGAAGGGGGGGCACCCCCCCCCCCCAAAACGCGTTGCGTCACCGGGGGGGGGGGGAGGTCGGGGTGGGATTTCAAAAAAATTGAGTCAACCTTTAATTATCCGTCGCTTTGCGGGAATGTCTCGCGAGTTTTCGGAGTGCGTGTGCACGTGTGTGCAATCGGTTCGTAGCGAGCACGACCTATACATGTGGTGTGTCCGTGTGGGGAGCGGTAGTGTCGCGGTTAGGGCTCTGCGCTACGAACCGGGCGACCCAAGTTCGATTATCCACTCACGGCCAACACCAGCGACGATTATCTGAACCGGTCCTGTGCCTCCCATCCTAGGTCGACTCAGCCTCAAATGGGTACCTGGTGCGGTGTGTAAACATCGCCACTCGGGGATACAAAGGCGGTCGGGCGTGGTGCTGGCCACCCACCCCCTCGTGTGCCGTGCCGGCCTTCATAGGTGCTCACTAACAGCACTTGCCCCGACAGTCTGTTGAGGCTACACGGGGGATCTTTGTCTTTGGTGTCACGGTTAGGCCTCTGCGCTACGAACCGGGCGACCCGAGTTCGATATCCCGCTCATGGACAACCAACACCAGTCGCGATTATCTGAATCAGTCCTGGGCCTCCCCTAGGTTGACTCAGCCTCATGTGCAAACTTCAGGACGTGGGGAGACAAAGGTGGCCGAGCGTGGTGCTAACCGAACCACCCCATTTTGCACCGTGCCGACCTTAACGTGCTCGCTAACGGCACTTGCCCCAACAATCTGTGCGGCTGCAGGGGAGACCTTTGTCTTTGTGTGTATGCACACGCCCCACTTTATGAATCCATAGACAGTGCTGTACTGACAGATAACGTTTATGGCATCAATATAAATATCAAGTTACGTAGATCGATGCCTTGACGTGTGGAGTGAGCGTGGAGGTGGTGAATGTGATCATTGTTCGACCGATTTTAGTGAAAGCCACTGAGACCAGCACCACTGAGAACCTCGGTTCTAAACTAAACAAATTTTTGTTTTATTTAACCAGGCAAGGACCACTGAGCTGTATAGCTATTTTTCATAATGTGTAAATTTATAGCAACCGAATATTCTAAACGTGTGATTTTTTTTCTAAATGCGGAGGGAAAAAAACGGAGGACCCGGAGAAAAATCCACGCGGCCACGGGGAGAGAGAGAGACACGCAAACTCCGAATATACAGCAGGCGTCAGGGTTGGGATCGAACCCACGACCTCCTGTATAACAGGCGAGGTAGCTAACATCTCCTAGCCACCGTGATGATGATGAGAGAGAGACACGCAAACTCCAAATATATAGCAGCAGGCGTCAGGGTTGGGATCGAACCCACGACCTCCTGTAGAACAGGCGAGGTAGCTAACATCTCCTAGCCACCGTGATGATGATGAGAGAGAGACACGCAAACTCCAAATATATAGCAGCAGGCGTCAGGGTTGGGATCGAACCCACGACCTCCTGTAGAACAGGCGAAGTAGTTAACATCTCCTAGCCACCGTGATGATGATGATGAGAGACACGCAAACTCCAAATATACAGCAGGCGTCAGGGTTGGGATCGAACCCACGACCTCCTGTGTACCAGGCGAGGTAGTTAACATCTCCTAGCCACCGTGATGATGATGATGATGAGAGAGAGACACGCAAACTCCAAATATACAGCAGGCGTCAGGGTTGGGATCGAACCCACGACCTCCTGTAGAACAGGCGAGGTAGTTAACATCTCCGAGCCACCGTGATGATGAGAGAGAGACACGCAAACTCCAAATAAACAGCAGGCGTGAGGGTCGGAATTGAATCCACGACCTCCTGTATACCAGGCGAGGTAGTTAACATCTCACCACGGTGTCAGCCGGACCACCAATGAGACCCGCAGGCTCACATAGAGACCCAATGACTCAAATAAGAGACCCATGGACTCGTATAGAGACACATTGACGTACATAAAGACCCACAAATTTAAATATAGACCAATGGGCTCACATAGAGACCCACAGACTCAAATAGAAAACCATAGACTTGCACAGAGATCCATGAACTCACACATAAACGCACGCACGCACATCTCTGACTTGTGTTTGGATTTTCCCACAAACATGGAATTTTGGAGCAAACACCAAACCGTTTCCAGATGCCGCTGGGTGAGCGCCGTGCGGTAACTGATGGGGCTCGGAATTAAAGTAACAAAAATATTTCCGCTTGTCGCTGGTCCACTGGCCCAGCCTTGACAGTGGGATACCGTTAGGGCAGATCTGTGGGTTTCTGTGAGCATATGGATCTCTGTGTGAGTCAAATATTCTCTGCGTGAGTTTATGGGCCTCTGTGCGAGTCTATGGGTCTTTGTGTGATGGATCTATGTGTCTCTGTGTGAGTCTATGGGTCTCTGTGCGAGTCTATGAGTCTCTGTGTGAGTCTATGGGTCTCTGTGTGATGAGCCTATGCGTCTCTGTGTGATGAGTCTATGGATCTATGCGTGAGTCTATGGGTCTCTGCGCGAGTCTATGGATCTATGTGCGAGTCTATGGATCTCTGTGTGAGTCAAATAATCTCTGCGTGAGTCTATGGGCCTATGTGCGAGTCTATGGGTCTTTGTGTGATGAATCTATGGGTCTCTGTGTGAATCAATGGGCCTCTGTGCGAGTCTATGGGTCTTTGTGTGATGGATCTATGGGTCTCTGTGTGAGTCTATGGGTCTCTGTGCGAGTCTATGGGTCTCTGTGTAAGTCTATAGGTCTCTGTGTGATGAGTCTATGGATCTCTGTGTGATGAGTCCATGGATCTCTGTGTGAGTCAATGAATCTCTGCGTGAGTATATGGGCCTCTGTGCGAGTCTATGGGTCTTTGTGTGATGAGTTTATGGGGCTCTGTGCGAGTCTATGGGTCTCTGTGCGAGTCTATGAGTCTCTGTGTGAGTCTATAGGTCTCTGTGTGATGAGTCTATGCGTCTCTGTGTGATGAGTCTATGGATCTCTGCGTGAGTCTATGGGTCTCTGCGCGAGTCTATGAATCGATGTGCGAGTCTATGGGTCTCTGTGTGAGTCTATGGGTCTCTGCGTGAATCTATGGGTCTCTGCGCGAGTCTATGGATCTCTGTGCGAGTCTATGGGTCTCTGTGTGAGTCTATGGGTTTTTGTGTGATGAGTCTATGGGCCTCTGTGTGATGAGTCTATGGGTCTTTGTGTGATGAGTCTATGGGTCTGTGTGATGAGTCTATGGGTCTCTGTGTGATGAGTCTATGGGTCTCTGTGTGATGAGTCTATGGGTCTCTGTGTGATGAGTCTATGGGTCTCTGTGTGATGAGTCTATGGGTCTCTGTGTGATGAGTCTATGGGTCTCTGTGTGATGAGTATTTGGGTCTCTGTGCGAGTCTAACGCCAAGACGGTGGGATGAGACTCCCTGGGCAGACCTTGCAGGTGGCTGTGAGTCGACTCTGCAGCAGCTGCGGGATCTGGCGGAGGGGAGAGAACGCGTTGGCGATGAGGTGTGGTGGTGATGATGGTGGTGATGGTGGTGGTGGTGGTCGTGATTGTGGCATCAAAGGCTGTGGCCACGATGACAACTCGATCGTCTGATCTGGTGCCGTTTGTTGCTGTCCGTTTGGCATTTTGGACCTTAGCGCCTACGCTCAGCAAACCGTGATGAAGACAAATCGTCACCACCACCAACAGCAGCGTTCTCTCTGCTCATGGCTTTGGTCACATTTTCACTTGTGGGTTTTTATTTGAAAATTCAGGCAGGATGTAAATCATGGGCTGTGTCCCTTATAGCCGAGTGCTTCCCATGGTAATAATTCACAGAGGAAGAGTGGGGGGGAAGGGGGGGACACCAACCAGGTCAGAATTCTGCTCCTCTGTCGCAGTGGCTATTGAGAATAATAATTTAATACATTTGGTATGCACGTCATTTCCATAGCGCAGTGCTATCACGAAGGATGATGCATTTACTTCGCACCGTACGTAGCCGACCGTGGAATTTATTTTCACGTGTTTTGCTTTTTGTTATTTTGGTGAGCCGGGCCACTCTTGCAAATGGGACTCCTCTATCTTGGTCTCTGGAGTTCTCGGGCCTGGTTAAAACAATTAGAACTTTAATATTTTCGTCCAGAATAACAAAGAAAATAAACTTCAACAGCACTGAAGTTCTTTCGTTACCGTACGTAGCCAACCACGCTAATCGGACGTGCGGTCGAAGGACAAACGACAGCATGAAAAAAGCAGTTGTAAAGAAATTATTTTTCAAACTATTTGATTTAATAAGTGCATAGCTCCAAGCGGCACGTGACGCCCCCCCCCCCCCCCGCGTTCCCAGTGACGTCAGCGAGTCTTTGTGACGTCCGCGCGTGA